TAATAAGTTTACTTTTTGATGGCAGTAATGAGGACAAAGACTATCCAGCCAGAATTTTCCTATATGATGAGGTGGAACAATCAGGGAGTTATAAATTTCTTTCTCCTTCAACTTTATACATGAAGAAAATGTTATCATCCCTTGCTCCTCAAGGCAGGACACAGATACAGTCTTTGACACGATCTTTGATGGTAAAATAACATACTTTGTAACCAGAGTTCCTCTAGCACTGTCTTTTGCCTACTCTTGTCTCCCCTCTGCTAGTGAAAAATTGAGGACATGTAAAACCTACTCATTTTTTTTTATTTTTTAGAAGCTAGTCACAGGCAGAAGAACCTACATGGTTAAAATATGTTATGGATTTGTTTGATTACTGCATTTATTGACACCATATTAGATAGCGTTGACTTTTTTCCCCAAGTTTACCACTAAGTCATTTATATAACTTAATTCTTACCCTAGTCATCAAGTAAGGGGGTGTATTATGGCAAGTGTAGAAGACAGGGAATAAGAATGAATAAAGAAACAATAGCATAATTGTATAATATTTGAGAATTTATAAAGTGTTTTCTCCATACATAACCTTACTCAATTCTTACTCTATTCTTGGACATTGTATTAATTGTATAGAATAGGCAGCCGAGGCTTAGAACAGTTAAACATTTTACCCAAGGTCACAAAGCTAGATCTGGCAAATCAGGACTTAAATCTAAGTCCTCCAACTCCTAGTCCAAGTTTTTTTTCCACTATACATTAATAAGTTATAGAGGGTTATGCAATATTTTAGCCACTTACAGTTGAATGTGGTGGCTTAAGAACATAAACATAAGCTTTTGAGTCAGGTCGCCCTGGGTTTAATCTTGTGTTGTTACTTATTAGCTGTGTATCATGAGAAAGTTGCTTACCATCTGAGTCTAAATTTCTTATATGTAAACTAGGTGTAATAAGGAATTATGGATACCTCTCACAGTTATGTGAGAAGATTAGTAAGATAGTCCTGAGCACCATGCCTGAATCATTAGATCTCAATAATTAGCAGTCAGCATGAACAAGTACACAAGTAGTGAGTGATGAAACAGTGGACTGGCTATTATTTCTTCATGCTTATCAATCCTGGTTGTGGTGGGAGGTATTTTTTTTTTCTTGCTGTTAGACAGCTAAGTATAATTATTTAAGAAGGGGATAATGGGAATAGTGATAACTAGGCTTCAAATGTTTAATAGAAGGAAAAGGAGGAGGTATATAGAGTCCATGAGTTTGTAACAGGCTGAAAGTAAGAAAAAGGTATAGGAAAAGTCAAAAGAAATCATTGTAGTTAAAATGTCCATGAATAGGCCGGGCGCTGTGGCTCACGCCTGTAATCCTAGCTCTTGGGAGGCCGAGGCGGGCGGATTGCTCAAGGTCAGGAGTTCGAAACCAGCCTGAGCAAGAGCGAGACCCCGTCTCTACTATAAATAGAAAGAAATTAATTGGCCAACTGATATATATATAAAAAATTAGCCGGGCATGGTGGCGCATGCCTGTAGTCCCAGCTACCCGGGAGGCTGAGGCAGAAGGATCACTCGAGCCCAGGAGTTTGAGGTTGCTGTGAGCTAGGCTGACGCCACGGCACTCACTCTAGCCTGGGCAACAAAGCGAGACTCTGTCTCAAAAAAAAAAAAAAAAAAAAATGTCCATGAATAAAAAGCATTTACATCTTGTATTAAATTTGTATGTGACAAAGTAGAATCTGGCCATAAACACAGTATATATCAGTAGTCCAGTAACTAGTCCTAGTACCCATGTTGGTCACTGGTATATATTTCCACTTATCTGAGATGAAATGGTAAAAATGATAATATAGTGATTTTTCATAAAGCTACATTTATTCAGTTTAAACTCTTGCTCTTTATTTTGACATATCATCTCAGCTTTTTTTTAGATATTAAAATGTTCTTTTCTTTTGGAAAGTAATAGTGATAAGTAGTTGATAGTTTTTTTTAAGGTCCTTACTAGACAAAATAAAAAGTTGGTAAACATGTGTCCATTCCTTCCCATTAACTAATATTTATTTTGAAATCCCAAAGTCTAGAAATCACTGAATCAGTTACTCTTCTAGTTTTCTTACAGTTCCGGAAACCTAGGCTTCTAGATATCAAAGGAATTTATCTATGAAGACCATTCAGTAGACACCAAGCAGTGTTACAAAGGAGACATCAACACATCTAGTTCTTAACAGTTCATATTTTATACAGAGGCCCAATTCTTGTCTCCTAAGGAAATTACAGTCTAAGACAGAACAGAAATGCAGATTGTTGTCACCCAGAACACAGAAGATAGGATAGAAACATCAATCTAGGATATAGATTAATAATGAGCTACTTACAGCATATAATTTGGGGTTGCATGAGAGGCAAGACAAAAGCCATGATATGGTGTGTGTGTGTGTGTGTTTGTGTGTGTGTGTTTGTGTGTGCATGTGTGTGTGTTGGGGGGCTATTTATAAAGAATAGTTCTAGAGAGATCTATACCCAAAAACTAGACCAAAGGACGACACAGTCATATCATCTTGGAGTCAACCAGGGCTATTCAATGTTATTGAATTGATTTCTTTCACCTGATGTCCTGTGACTGGACATGAGTATAGCATTGCAATGGCCAGACTAGAGAAATGGTTTTCATCATGAATTAAGAAAACAACTGCTTTGTTTTGTTGGCTTTGATTTTAATACCACATGCAGGTTCTGATAAAAACATTAAATACTGTTTAAAGTAACTAGGCCAACAAACTATTATAAAGTAGTTCAGTTGGTAAGCAAAAATTGTGAAAATTTGTAATTAAGCAGATTTTCATTCTATACCCAATTCAACCTTAATTAAAGGAGTAGGTATTTTGAAAGGTACATTAATTATAGATATCTATTTGGTAAATGATTTATTTCATTTAAATAATCTTCCACATCCCACTTAATGTGGCTCCTAGAAGGTACATTTACTTGTAAGCAAAGGAGTGTTTAGGGCCTTGAAAAAAATCTGGCTTATTGTTTAAAATATATAATTTGTTTAAATTCTGAATTTAGCAAATGAACTAATAGCTTTGCAAGATAAGTATTTCTTGAAGGAAATGGCCAGGAAACTTAATAATTGGGAAAACAAATTACAGAGAACAGAGACCTAAAACACAATTTACTGTGACAAATAAAAGTATTTATTTTTAAAATTCTTCTAGAGAGTAACATATGATTTTAATGTGTTGAGCCTGAGTTCATATACCATTAAATTATTTCACAGATATTTATTGAGTGCCTACTAAGTGCCTAGATCTGGGAATACAAAGATAAAATGCTTTGCTTATTAGGCTGTCACCATCTCTAAGAGGTGCTCAGTACACATTTAAAAATTAAAATTAAAATAATTTCTGCTGGAACTTATACCACACCACACACCCACACACATACACATATTTTAAAGGATCTAGGTATTTTACAAATGCTCAGAAACTGAAGGAAACAGGCCTTAGGGCTGGCGCCAACACCTACTACTTCATTATGTAACAGATTGATTTTAAAAATGGTCTTTACACAATATCACTTGGATTTTCTTTCTCCTTTAGCCTCATTTTACGCAGTCCTATTTCCATAAGGTCTTCAGGGCACTTTCTTGTCTAATGCAACATATTATAATTTTTGGATTTCCTGGATGCTTAAGTTGGTAGAGACTCTTCAGGGAATCTCAACTGAAGGTCATCCACTACAGCCCTTTTCAGATTTGTTAATCCTATCTATGTGGAGAAAAGGGGGAGACAGGTTGCTGTTACAGCATTTGCTGGGCTCTGAGACTGCCCCTTGTGTATCCACCTTTAGGGAAAACCTTGCTCTGCATTTTAGAGTTTTGTTTGTTTGACACCAAGGAGGCCCCAGCCTCTCCTGGGTACTCACACTATGTAAAGTACTTCTCTTCATCTGCCAAGTATAAGGTCAGTTTTGTTCCAGAAGGAAACCAAAACTGGGGCTCAGCAGTGTGACTTTAGCATATGTCTGCCCTCTTTCCTGTGCTCTTCTAGAATGGAACCCAGAGCTCAATCTCCAAGCTGTTGTGGGTTCAGGCTTGAGGAACAGAGGTCGGGTCATGCTGCTCTGGCAAGTTCCTGGGCATCCAGCAGCTACTGCCAGCAGACTGGTTTTGGCTGGGGCCAGATCTGAAACCCTTATAGTGTCAACTCTTTTCCCCTCTGCCTCCATACAGAGCACTTCCCTGCAGAAGGGCTAAGCCCAGGTGTTGGCCTTGAGGAGGAGCTGGAGGAGCAGCTCTAACTGTGCATTGAAATAGAGTGGCCATGCAGTGGCACAAATGGGTGCAGAGCTGCCCTGACTAAGCTAAGCACAATGGAAGTGGCTTTGGCTTGTCCAAAGCCAGCAGCTGTGTATCAAAGCCCCCAAGACCTTATGCCTTGGCTGCAGGGAGAGCACAGAAGAGCCACGGCACAGATTGGTCCCTTTTACCCCTCGGAGAAGCCCTTTGACCTGGTCACTCTGTGTTTTCCTTCTGGCCACTCCTTGCTCTTTCAAGGTGATAGCACACTTCTGTGCAGCTCCCCAGCGCATTGCAGAGGTCTAGGCTCCTGTTCACAGAATCTGCTTCTGCATTCTATACTTAGGCAAAAATCACCGCCGCCAGACCCCTTTGCAACTTAGCAACCCTTCCCATTGCTGCTTCAACCCAAAGAGAAGGCCCCTGAGCGGAGGATATGCCTGATGCTATCAGGACAAACAAGCGTGGGGTCAGTGCGAACACGTTACCCCCCGCTGGCACTGGGGCTTTCGCGCGTCTGGGTCGGAGCTCAAACCGCCCTCCCTAGAGCCTTGCGAGGAGGGAAGTGAAAACAAGACGTCCCGCCCTGCACCCGAGAAGTTACAATAGTTCTGTTTGGACCCCTCCCTCCGCTTTCTGACACTAGAGGGTTAAATCAGGAGGGTACAACGCTATCCTTTCCTCCTCCTCGCCTCCCACCCCCCACTTACCTTTAAAAAGTTAAAAAATGTCTGCAGTTGAAATCTGTTAAAGGGGCGGTGCTGGTGTACGAGCTCTCTTGGCACGAGTCGCTGAGAAGGCTGGCTAGGGGCGTGAGTTCGCTCCACCAGCACCAAAACACTGAAAAAGAGAGAGAGAGAGAAAGAGAGATCAGAGGGGGGGGGGGAGGCAGACACACACTTTAGATAAGGACAATTAGTCACTAGCAAAACCCAGTAGGAAGAGAGGTTTGAATCAGAGGGATTGAATGAGGGTGCTCTGTGCCTTCCCTGAAGCCATGCCCTCTAGCAACTCCCGCCCCTCTGCGTGCCTAGCCCCGGGGACTCTCTACTTGGCTCTATTGCTCCATCTCTCTCTTTCCTCCCAAGCTGGAGACAGGAGACTCTTGCCTGTAGAAAGAGTTCCAGGTTTGAAGGAAAAGACCCTGATTCTACTTGATGTGAGCACCAAGAACCCAGTCAGGACAGTCAATGAGAACTTCCTCTCTCTGCAGCTGGATCCGTCCATCATTCATGATGGCTGGCTCGATTTCTTAAGGTAAGGCAGGGGCTTCGATGGATCATTTTAAATTTTTTCAGTAAACACCCCCACAACCCCTTCCTATGCCCCAGTCAAAAAGGGAAAGAGAAGAAGAAGAAGAAAAAGAAGAAGAAGAAGGAGGAAGAAGAAAGAAGAAGAGGAGGAGAAGGAGGAGGAAGAAGAAGAAGAAAGGAAAAAAAATAAGCCAAGAGTATCTCTCAAAGAGAAGAAAGGTTTTCCTTTTCCTGGAATATTTGCTGAGGCTGTAACTAGTGATTGAGAAAAGCAATGTTTTCTATTAAGATGCACATGTTTGCAATGCAGAAGGCATTTCAGAAACTTATCAGTTATGACTGAAAAAATGTTGTGCTTACATATATCCACAATTAGCCTCCCCGTCTCCTTCTGAAAAAGAAACAAGAGGTTCAGGTCAGTTACAAAAGCTAAGAAAAGGTCTTGAGCAACAAAGACCCGAAAAGAATGGCTGTGTGTGTATGTGTGTGTGTGTGTGTGTGTGTGTGTGTGAGAGAGAGAGAGAGAGAGAGAGAGAGGAGAGAGTTCATGTGTGTCTGTGAGTGTTCAAGCGAGTATTGCATGAAAGTGGACTTTTCCACGTAAAGATCGTTTTGTCAGTTCTCTCCCACTCCCAGACAGAAAACGAATTTAAGGAGAGGCTTGAGAGGTGGGCAAGTTGGATCAGAGTTTTAAAATTTTATTTTATATCCTTCGCTGTCATCTCCAGACTTCAGAACTTCCTAAGGCACTTTTTATAGACGGACCCCCCCCCCCCTTCCTCCTCCTTAAATCTCCTGCGGTAACTGCGTACTTTAGTTTTGCTTTAAAGAAAAAAAATCCTCGCTGGGGTCACAGCGTTTATAAGGGGAGCGGTAAGGGTCTTAGAAATTACTCCAGGGATGTTTCGGAGGTCTGAGCCCAGCACCGGTGGATTAGCAAACCAGGAGGTTTGTGATCTCCTTTCTGTAGAGCTTGGAATCTAATTGAGCTCACTCTCTCCCTGGGTTGTTACAGTTTAGCAGTTAGGCAACCGCGATCCTTTCCCATCAGGACAGAGTTGCAGTGTAAAAAAAGAAATAAATAAAACATTGTCTGCAATGTCGAATCCAAGTGTTGAGTTTTAAAAATCCCCCGCAAGTTGGAGCCTCAGCTGTAGGTTCCCCCCAGGCCTGAAAGCTCTCAATCCTATTCTGCCCTGAGGCCGCGTCCGCCCGCCGTGCATCTTTCGTGAGTATTTTTCACTCCTAGAGAAAGAGTTTTGGTTTTTGGGATGCGCCCGCCCCTCAGCTCTCGGGGTGTCCTTCTGACCTCGGCGGGGTCTGGGGACGAGGCAGGTAGCAGGAGGCGCCACGTGGAGCGCTTCTTTCACGTGGAGGGAAAGTAGCTGGAGATCTGAGTGGTCGTCACCGCCACTGCGGAGGCCGTTTCGGTTCCCTGCGAGTGCAGCCGCTGCAAGGGCGGAAGAGCTAGTCCTGTTTGGCTGGCTTCTCCTGGAAAATTCTTCTGTGCGGCAGAGCTTGTTTCTAGGGTCGCCTGAATGTGGAGTGCGACAGGGGTTTTCCGAAATGCACACCCCACTTCCATTGCATTTCTCCAGCTTCATGAACTCCTTGGGTTTCTTTCTTTTTAAAAGCAGCCTGTTCGCACTAAATGCTTGCCTGCCTCAGAAAAGATTCTGGAAGGCAGCTTTTCGGGGAAGAAGCCGTGGCGGGGCGCATTTGCATTGGCTGTGCGGGCTTCCGGATGAAAGGTTGTTGGAAATGCCCTTTCCGCGGGACCAGATTCGCGCAGACGTCTGTTCTGCCCACAGCCAGCCCACGCGACGCCTTGACTGCGCCCGCCTTGGAGACCTCAGCCAAACGACCCTTTTGGCTACAGGACCTCTGAGGTTGTCACGGCTCTTCTCTAAAACTCTCCAAAAGCGGAGTCTACGGTTTTTTCCTTTCTCGAATCCACATCCTTTATGATGCTCTTTACTTACTTCATTTGGATTTGGATTTTCAGAACTGAACCAGCAAAGCATTGAAAATAATTTACAGATCTGGAGCTCAATAGCTGATCCCCTGAGTATTATCAGGATCTACATTGCTCCTTCCCTGCTTCCCAAACTTAGCAGCGTTTGGCTTAAAAAAAAAAAAACTATTGATGCAAATCCTGAACTTAAATACATGTAAATTCGGGTGCTCCTTGAGTTTGCCCAGGCGCGCTGGTTCCGCATTTCGGCAAACCTCACTTTTTACCCAGCGCTTCCAGACGGCCCCAAGTGGGAAGGAAAAAAGATGGAGCTCAATGGTGTTGGGGTAGGGAGGAGGATGTTACTTTTCTTGAGATCAGGCTGAATATTTCAGGGGCCAAAGGGGCATTGCTTTTGCTGTTGGTGGGTGAGTAGAGGAAGAATTCTCGGAAAGGCAGGGATTTACCTTGGGAATGGAATTTGGGAAACAATGAGGCTGTTAGAATGTAACGAAAAAGGAAAATCAGGCATTCAAAGAAAAAAAAGTCAGAATCCACCTGACATCAGGCGCCATTCCTTTTCTGAGAGAAAGAAGGCAAGTTTCACCTCCTACACTGAGGTTGCGGGGCTCCTGGGGCCAAGGAGGCAATGCCAGTTCTCCTCGCAGAAGTTTGGCAACGGCCAGAGGCCGGTGGTGGGTGCGCCTTGCGCGTCCCCTCCAGGAGCGCTTTCCTGGCAGTGGCAGAAGCCCGGCAACTGCGCCTTGGCGCCGAGTTAGCAGCACGTATTCCCCAATCCCAAACACATCCTGAGAACAAATACCGTCTCTAACCCTTTGGAAATGGTCTGGATGTCTGCAGGAGGGGGCTGCCGTGGTCGGCTGGGCGCAGGAGGCGTAGCCCCCGGGAGCTGGGCGGCTAAGGGCTGGGCGGGCTGGGGTGCAGGGTATACGAGAGACGCTGCAGAGCGGCCAGGGGCTAGCGTGGATCCTTGGCTGGGCGGGCACAGAATCCCTAGCCCCCGTCAGGTAGCCTGCAGGGAATGGGAAGGGGGCCCTACTCCGTGCCCGCGCACTCCCGCCTTCTCCCTGGATCCTTTCCTCTCTCTTTCTCTACCTCTGCAGCTCCAAGCGTCTGGTGACCCTAGCCCGGGGACTTTCTCCCGCCTTTCTGCGCTTCGGGGGCAAAAGAACAGACTTCCTGCAGTTCCAGAATCTGAGAAACCCGGCGAAAAGCCGCGGGGGCCCGGGCCCGGATTACTATCTCAAAAACTATGAGGATGGTGAGAAACTTGATTACCATTCTTGCAGGGTGGAGGGAAATCTGGGGAGCCAAAGGGAACACCCGCTCTGTGTGTGTGTGTGTGTGTGTGTGTGTGGTCTGTGTGCACGCAGGAGGCAAATTTGGAGGAGGGCCTGGTTGAAACTCCCCTAAAAAGCTGCAAGCTGCGGGCAGTGGGACACCGCATTGTGGGACGTGATTAACCGAAGGGCTGGATAGGTTGTCTTCATCCCAGCGGCCGGCCTTCCCTGGGCATCTAAGTCTCCGAGGCTGCAAATTGGAAGCCAAAGTTGGCAGGCTATCACTGGGGGGAGAAGATGCAGCGAGTTTCTTAAGAAAATTTAGCCAGTTCATAGATTACTAAAGGGTTAAGGTCGCGTTTTAGTCCTAAAACTCTAGGCAAAAGTGTCTTTTTGTTTTTCTTATTTCTTGCCTTCCTGGGATGAGGATACGGAGGGATTCATCCTTTTTTTTTTTGAAACTCATTCTAAAGTTTTCTGGAATAATCCCTTTTAGATTGATCCTTTGTTGAAAAATGTTTGAAAATCTCCACAGTGAGTTCTTTTTCAAACTGCTTAATCTCAGAGTTGCAATTTTTCTGTTTTAAAATGGGATTACAAATGCCAGCCTTCTTTCCTGCCAGGATTAGATGAATTAAGTGTTGGAAGGGCTTTAAAACTCGAAATCCTATTACAATGTGTGAGGCTGATCTTTTTTTGGTTTTAACAGTCTCAGTTTTACTGTGGAAAAAATGAAAATGTCACTTAAAAAAGTTTGTTTAGAAGGTTTGGTGTTAATATCTATGAACTTTCTGTCTGAGTAGAGGACATACTTTCAAGAGGCACGGTGGGAATTGGTATATCTTTAGCCCACTGATGCTGATTGAACAGAGAGTCATTAGTATTAGTTCTTCAAGGGCTATCTCTCCCCTGCTGTTCCTTCACATAAGTAAACTACAGTTTTATTTTTAAAGGGCTTAGGGATACGTTTTCAGAACTCCCTGGATTTTGTTACATCATGTCCTTATAAATCAGTTAAATGAGGAAATGCCATTGTATTTTCTGGGACGTTCATGAATGGTACTTCTAGAGAGGTATTGGGATCTATTTTAAGGGTGACTGGAAGATTTTTTTTACGTGCCAGAATAAAGAAAGAGGGCAAGGCTGAGGCTTCTTGAGTTTGAAGCAGCATGTCTAGGACTTACTATTTTATAACATATGCCAAAGCATGTAGGTGTTTAAGGCTTTATCTTTTCAAAGGAAAAAGTCATTGCCATAAAAATGTGGATTGCAAGTAGATTTTTGCTATCAGTGTAAATGCTGAAAGGTAAAAAATAATCTTTGATAGCAACTCTGATGGTAATTTGATTTAGCACCTTATAGCTACCAGGGTCACTGTGATCAGACACAAGAAGGGAGAATATTAATGGTTTTCCTGATGAGACTGTTTTTCTTCCAATTCATTTGAACTACTTCCTCTTTAGTTTGTGGAAAAACTTGTAAGATACCCAGGAATTGCTGGGGAAAAGGGACTATTATAAATTTAGACATTGGTCAATTTTCCTAACCTTATATCTGGGGTTATATTACTGATTCATTTAAAACAGTGAGATCTACTTAAAAGGAAGGCTACAATTTGTTTCCCTTTGTAAAAGGAGAAAGTAGGCATCAAGGGGAGAAAAGAAATTGGCAGAAGGCCGTGCCCCATAAAACTTTACAGAATTAGAAAACTCAGAAATGGAAAAGATCTAAGAGATCATCTTTTGTCCTTCTACCACTCCAGGGGCCAGTATAGGATCCTTTCATATGGAATCCTTTTCTTGTTTTGTCCAACTTGGTATTAAATATCTCTAGGAATGTGGTTTTCACCACTCCTGGGAGAGAGAGTTCTTCTGTCCCATAGGTTTTTGCCAGAAGATTACTCGTGAATTTTCCCTTTATAAATATTTATAATTATTTATAATAATTTACAATTATCCATATTTGCATTTTTTAGAAAACTGCCTTCAAAATAATTTTGTCTGCGGTGTAGGTTATCTGTGGTTAGCTTCGAAAAAAGGTTTCTCATAGCTGTTTTTTATCGAGACTACCTGGACCTAATTCTTTTAAAACTTTCTTTAAAGTCAGTTCTTCCAGACACTAATCTGTTTTATTGCTCCTAGCTGAACTCCTTTTGATTTATGCGTCTCTGGTAATAAGATGCTCTGAACTATATCAGTATTTGAGGCCTTAGTAGAGTTAAAGAGAATAGGAATGTCCTATTTCTGCCCTTTGATGCTCACATATCCTTAAATCACCCATACTATCTTTGTTGTCGCATGTTGCATTGCAGAATTCAAGGCAAAAATGTTTTTGGTATAGTCTCAGCAATTTTGCAAACATTATACTTCAGTTGTCACTTTTCATCCAGTGATAACTGTTATCATCAAGAACATCTTAAAATAATTAGATACTCTTAGAAAATGGCCCTATAATAAGCACTTGAGCATAAAGATACTTTATGATAAATAAAAATGTATTTCCTTAAACATAATAACTACATACATTTTGAGTAATAAGATACACCTACTGGCACATTATGAAACTGAATGCTATGGTGAGGAGAAAATGGAATTTGGATTTATAAAGCCTACATTGCAAGGCTAGGCTCCATCACTTACGAATATGTGGCCCTGGGTTTACTGTTTCTCTATGACGTGTGGATAATGATACTACCTGTTGTACATTTCTTCTCTGAGGTTCTAAGAGGTAATATTTGTAAAATATTTTATTGACTGAAAAACACTGTAAGTAAGCTACTTTTATGAAAGGCAATTTCAGGAAATTTATAACATTATATTTAATGTATTAAAGTGGGATTAAGAAGTAAGATTAGGTGAGACAAATGTATACAGAAGGAAAGAGGTAAATTTAGGGAATCATTTGAGAGGATTAAGAGTATGTAGGGAGAATTATCTTTAAGGAACAGGGATGAGAACCTAAGGTATTTTTGTTGTTGTTGTTTGTTTGTTTTTTATGTGTGTATGTGTCTGGTAATGAGAGAAAAGGTTAATCTTTAGTTTTGTTATATGATAATGTTAAAATGAACTTCCGTCAAAAACATGATTTTCTGGTTAATTCATACATTTGTAACTTGATGTGATGTTTTTTGTTGTTGTTTCCCTCTGAATTATTTTTATTTATTTATTTTTAGAGACAGAGTCTTATTCTGCTGCCCAGGCTGGGGTGCAGTGGTGCGATCACAGCTCACTGCAGCCTCAAATTCTTGGGCTTAAATGATCCTCTTGCCTCAGTGTCTCAGTGTTGCAATTAGCTAGGGCTACAGGCATGCACCACCATGGCCAGCTAATTTTTTTCTTTTCTTTTTTTTTTTTTATTTCGGCATATTATGGGGGTACAGATTTTAAGGTTTCAATAAATGCCCATTTCTCCCCCTCCCCCCAAAAGTCTGAGTCTCCATCATGACCATCCCCCAGATGGTGCACATCTCACTCATTATGTATGTATATACCCGCCCCCCCCCCCCCCCCCACCTGCCCAATACCCTATTACTGTAGTACCTATGTGTCCACTTAGGTGCTACTCAGTTAATACCAGTTTGCTGGAGAATATATCTGGTGCTTGTTTTTCCATTCTTGGGATACTTCACTTGCCAGCTAATTTTTTAATTTTATTTTTTGTAGAGACAGGGTCTTGCTTGCTGCCCCAGCTGGTCTCAAACTCCTGGGCTCAAGCTATCCCAAAGTGTTGGGATTATAGGTGTGGTTCACTGTGCCCAGCTCCTTGAATTAATAATGCAATTAACAAGCTTCCATTTTTCAAATATTTTTTGAGCATAGTAATGCAACTGCATTTCTAACTTTGTAAAACCACTGTTTATATAACACTTTGGGAATATCTCTGGTTACTCCTTTAATACAGTTAACTATTCTACTCTGTGCTTAGGTACCTTGAATTCCATATAAACATAGTGATGATGGAGGAAGTAAAAATAGAGTTTTACTCATATACTAGGAATCTTACCTTTGTCTAACTTCCTTTCTGTGCTGTGTGATATTATGCTTTACTTGCTCCTGACAAAGAAATCTTGGGTTAATCTTCTGTTCTTAATTTTATTTTGTTTCAGTCTGTCCTTCTTTGTTATGTATTCAGTGTGCTTTATTTGTGTTTCTGTTTCTTTATGGCCATAACAGTATCTTTAATGAAGACATACATCATATATTAGGCACATCAAAAGCCAGCTTACTGTTGCTAAAATGTTACATTCATCATGTCACTCTTTTGCTAAAAAAATCTTGGTTATTTTGAATTGCTTATAAAAAATATTCAAACTCCTTGACATTCAAAACCTTTTACATTTCAGTCTAAGCTTACTTTTACTACCCTATGTTTCCATATACCTTTTAATACAGCCCTATTTGATTATTTACTGTCTCCTTAAAGCACCTTCATTATCTCAACCCCTACCTTTGTTCAGCTAGCCTATCACTGCCTTGAATGTCTTTCTCTTGGTTCTGTTCAGATCTTACCCCATCCCACTCAATTTCTGAAGGCCCATTGCAAATGTTTCTTATTTGTACAAACCCTTTATTGAACAGGTCATTCCACAGTGATTTCTTCTTTCTCTAGGCTGTTGTAGCTTTTATTCTTTATGCTGTTCCTTTGGCCCCTTCTCTGCCTTGTTTTGCTGTTTAACTTTACATATATCTAGATATTTGTTTATCTTTCCAACTAGAATGCAAATTCTTATAGGAAGGGACTATATCTAATTATTATATATCCCACGATGTCTAGGCATATATGAAACATGGTAGGTCTTCAGCAAATATTCTAGGCACATGATGGGTTGAGAGTACTGTGAAAGGCCCTGGGCAATTGGAGGTGACCAATGGAGAAATGGGCGAAGGATTACATGAAGATTCTATTCGTTTTAACGTGCAACGCATATTCCCATGAAGCCCATTCTTGATGCTTATTTTCAATGCCATTCTTCACTATTTTAATCATGTACTCCTTATTTTTTGTTATCTAAGTTGTTTTGGTTTCATGCTGTGTATTAAATTAATTTTATCAACCAGTTTAAAGCCTTGCACTTGGAACCACACTATTTTTTTTTTTTAATTGTGTCTGTTTCTTCCTTGCTTTTACTTTTGCTTTTCCTGGCTAGCCCTTTGTAATTTCTATACCTGATTTTCCAATTCCTGATAATAATACCTTTTCACAACTTTCAAATATCTTTTATCTCTATCTCCTGAAGATTTTTCTCTTTAGACTTTTTAAATTCTAAATGATGAATACAAGTACACTTTGGAAACTTTAGGGCATTATACAATTATTATTGTCCTCTTTTCTCCAGGAAGTTTTCCTGGTTGTCAGAGAGGTGAGGTAGTGAATGCTTTTTATTTCTATTCTCATTCTATCAATCAAGACACATGACATAAGAACAGTACAACTGCCAAAATACATATTTGTCTTGAATGTATCTATCTTTCATTATCTCATTTTATTAATATTTCACATAATGTTTCTTGAAATTCAGTTACATTTAACAACTATTTACTGATTACCTACTCTGTATTTAGTTTCATTTTGGGCAAAGAATGACAGAATATAAAATATTATAAATAAAAGATACTATCCCAAATCACCATTAGAGCATAACAGTAATGATTGCTTTAGCTCATCAGTGTTGAAATTAGTAGGTGAAGCTTTAAAGTAAACGAGGATATTTGTGGTGGTTTTAGTGTATGTCCACAAATTTTCCACCTCTAGGAAGTGGAACCTAATTCTTCTCCCCTAGATTATGGGTTAGATTTAATGATTTGATTCTAGAGAAGAGAGTCTGGAAAGGGGAAAATAGTAACTTTATAGTGGAGAAACTGACAGATATCATTTTAACAGTGATTAAAGTTAGTATCAGCAGATAAATCATATTGATACTATGTATTTTCTGATATAATATGATGGAAAGGGCACTTCATCCTGTGATATTCTCTTCCCAAATCCATAACTCTCAGTACACTTGAGAAAGCATCAGTACACTTGAGAAAGCATCAGTCAAACCCCCAAAGAAGGATACTCTACAAGATAACTGAACTGTGCTCCTTAAAAGATGATGTCCCTGCTGTTAATGAACCAATAGAATAGTTGGTGAGATAATATTTACACTGATGAAACTGAAAAGTAACAGAAAGACAATATAGAATTAAGTACTAAGTGGAATTTAATAGTTTGCCAGAGTATGACAGGAAAAGTGGAGATGAATGCTAGCCAGACTTAGGTGGGAGTAGGACAGATAGGTAGATTTTGGAGAGATAGAGACAAGAAGAGGATATTGTAGCTCAAGGGAAGGAACATGAGGCAAAGCCTTGTGTGTATTTGGGCAGGAAGGAGACCACCTTGGATGCCTAGAAATGTTACAAATTATCTAAGTTCATGTGCTAGAACAGTGTTGAATTCTTTTTTTTTTTACAAAAGCCTATATGTACATTTTGTTCATTCAGAAATGTTTGTAATTAAAGAAAAATATATACAAAATAAAGTACATGTTAGAAATTATTCTAAGCAAAACTCCTATTGCTAGAATTATTTCTAAATTTGGTTTTAAGACCTAATGTATTTTTGTTAGCTCTAAAATATGTAATTTGAAAAGAAGGAGGAAGAAGTACATGTATGAGAGAAGAGGTTGGTTGGGTAAATACTGTTAAGATTATAAGAATCTTGTATTTTAGGCAGAGTAAAATGGAATTGGCCCTGAAAGAAAAAAGAGGCTATTATAACTTCTTTTACTCCATTGAACATATTTTCAACATAGGCTTTCCATGACACTTGCATTGTCTCATCATCTCTTTCTAAATCACTGTGTTATATTAACTGCCCTTGGCAAGGTTTAAGTTATAAAGCATGCTTGAAAGACAGATAATTTAAAATTGAATTATTAATTTGATTCCTATATTATAGGACTATAAAATAAAGAAAAGATCTTAAAATTTGCTTAATAATTATATGTTATTCTTCCTTTCTAGAATAAAAATAATATTTTATAATATTCATTTATTCATTCATTTACTTATTTAGTGGGCATCCAGTTCCAGACCCCTGTTTGACACTGAGGCTGGGAAGATGAATGAGGCCCAGGTATCATTGTCAAATTACTTACTATTGACCTTGAGTCACTTTAGTAGCACGAGCCAAAAGCAGTTTCCAGAGACTTTTAGGCCCCCAAAAAGCCTCCATTCCAGCTTCATTTGGTATTTCATGATTTGTCTGTCAGTAACTTTAGAAGGATTTCATATAATTTAATATTGTATTAAAGGGTATCAGTAATCACCTGAAGTTTTATAAATGTCTTATTCTACCTTTTGGAATAAAAATGGATGCATTTCTGTATCATCATTGAAATTTGGTACCTAGGTTCTGAGTGTGCACTGAAGTTCATTATACCTCTGTGAATTTGAATTTAGTGTCATACAAAGATTTAGTTATCATGTCATTTAGTCACAATTTAGTCATTGTGGCCATGTACATAATGCTGGAAGTGGCAGAGATCGAGAAACACTGGTCTATTGCTTGTGGAGGTGGCTTAATTAATTTCAGTGAATCAGAAAAGTCAGTAAATAAACCTTTCAATGTTGACTACATTTATATAACTTATTGCCTGGTCATCAGGGACAAAGATAATCCATCAAATTTTCCGTACAACACAAACTGTGCTACTGTCGACAATAACAAATATTATTTCTCCCGACAAATTCATTTAATTCTGTCTCCTGTTCTCTTAAGCCCTACTGATGGGATGGGGACCTCATGGAAGACAAGCAGTTTCTTTCAAAATTCCATGGGCCTGTTTAGCTGGCCAGTCACATAGTCTGGGCTTCTGGAGTCAGGAGCCTTTTCTGAGAATCCTTCATCAAAATGGATTTGATGTTAAGAATCCTAACTTCAGTGCTTCTTAGTGCTTTAATTAAGCTTTCAGTTGTTTCAGTCTATGAGGCAATAGATTCAAACTGTGAGCACCGTGTGTGTGTGCGTGTGTGTGTGTGTGTGATGGTGTGGGGGGGAAGGAAGGGAAAGAGAGAATGAAATATGAGAATGAGAGAATTTGGGGTTTTATTCTATGCATTTGTCCATTGATGGTGATTTAGGCTAAGTGAATACACATTTCCAGACCAGTGGTTAGTGCTATTCAAGGTATAGATACCTTGTACAAGTTTGTTGAACTTGTTTATCCTTTGGCTTTCATGTTCTCGTTGAATTGGGTTCAATCCCATTCTTTCTTCATTTTAGTATGGTGAAAAACAGTGTAATTTTGTTCACTTCAATAAACATTTCTGATTATCAGTTATATACCAGGCTGAGTGCTAGATATTGGGGCTACCAAAAGGTATAAGACATGAACTCTTAAAGTTTTGTGGTCTTATATATTGAATGTAATTTCATAATGGTCTCCGGTATCATCTCTCTGCTTTATCAGACTAATCTTTGTTTAGCCACTCTACCTCTTCACATATACTTAGCCTCCACCTTGAATACACATCTCCCCTACCTAAATTCAAAATTTTATCTGTTCGTTCCTTTAAAACTTTGCCTAAGTTCCCTCTTTCATTTTTTTGCTAAGTCAGTCCCCATTAATCTCTCCCTCTTTCTCTGAATTGTTCTGAAATTCTTCTTTGAATATACAATCTAATTCAGTGCAAGTGCCCAGAATTTATGTTTTATTTACTTAATCAAATCATTTTGTCCCTAGGAATTTATGATCAAAACATCCTGGCAATATACACACACACAAAACCATATAGACATAACAATCATCACATTGCATGGGACAGACACATTAAGTCAAAGTATTATGTTATTTAAAAAGCTAAGTGCATGTGTCTTGGTTTTTGTGTGGCAAGTAATGAGTGAAAAATATAAGTTACATATTTAGAAAACATGGGATACATGTATGTGTCTATATGTGTGTGCTAAGGGAGTCGTGGGCTAAACAGTACCGTATTTTCACTTGCTTTGGAAAGGCAAAAATGGCTTGAAGGATGGAAAGTGAGGTTAGAAAATTGGAAAAGGTAAAAGC